AAAGAATGTAAGTAAGAGAGAAAGAGAGCGAGAGAGAGAGAGAGAGACACAGAGATAGAGATAGAGAGTAGTTATCAAGCCTGGTTTTAGAACTGTAATAATGCCTCGCGTATACAGACACTCTTGGTGTAATAGAGCTAAGACAAGCTGTACTGACATTCAAACCACTAGCGGATATGTAAATGTGCCACATATATACATATATGTATGTATATATATATATATATATATATGTGCAGCAGTAAAGACAGACATACTTTAGCTGAGCTGAGCTGTCCTGACAGTCAAACTCGTCGCAGTAGAGCGCCGCAGCCGCCGCCAGGGCGCGCTTGAACTCGTTTTGGTTGGTGTTGAACAGATCCTTGCTGATGCCGTCAATCATGACGACAACGAAGCCGTTGATTGGCTCGGGCGTGGTCGTCGTCGGCTCGTCTGTCGTCATGTCGTCGTCGTAGTCTTCATCGTCTGCCAGCGAACACATGCAAATATCGATTATTTGATCTAATTTTGAACTTTATTTTAATTGTTTAATTAATAGCGCGATTGTTGATTATTATTTATTGGTATTATTGTTAATGATTATTTAATATCTTTATTGTTACTATGGAAATGCTAGGAAACAAGGAGCAGATTTGTCACAATAGGTGCGTTCACACTGGCGCGAATTAGCCCGCTCGAAAAACTGAGCTTTTTACAAGTGTGAACGCAAATAGATCTAATTTGGAATCAGCGCGCTTATTTGCACCGCGGTGTGATATTTGCACCGCGGCGATTAGCGAGATATTCGCCTGTGTGAACAACGACACAATTAGCTCACTATTATCTCCGCTATTAGCGGGCTGAGCAGCGAGGTTTTTCTTGTGTGTGAACGCGCCTAATATCGAGTAAATAGAATTAAAAAAGTACACTTAAAAAGTATAATTAATCGTAGAATATAGTTTTGGCTTCCCCTATATTTTGTTGAGCCCCCGGTATTACACTCACCATCCTCCTTCTTGCTGTAGTCAGGTTTAACGTAAACCTCTCGCGGTTTGTTTGCCGGAGTGATTCCCATTGCAGCCAGCTCCTTCCTAATCGCCGCCAAACCTATACGCAATATACGATGTAGGCTTTTGCTAACAACTCATATGAAATTAAACTTAAATTAAACTAATTAATCGATTAACTTATTAAGGATATTTATTTAGGAGGCAAAAAAACCGGTTAGGGGATCACGTGACTGCGAAAAATGTTGTAGTGATTACATCATGACATTCTTACTGCAGTTGTACAAATATATTATACGTGTAAACCACAAGTATCTAGTATCTCTATCTCTCTCTCTCTCTTTCTCTCTATCTATCTATCTATCTATCTATCTATCTATCTATCTATCTATCTATCTATCTATCTATCTATCTATCTATCTATCTATCTATCTATCTATCT